ACACACACACACACACACACACACACACACACACACACACACCTAAAACCTTTTGTCTGTTAATCTGTCTGTCGGTGCTGTGTATAGGGGCTGCAGAGAAAATCCACTTCATCCAATGTGCATGAAAGTAAAGAAAATATGCACCAAGCCATAGTTGCAGGGGATCCATGTGTACATGCAGTTCCCTCCTCTGTGGCTCACTAACTGTGTGGCTTCAGAGGACAAACCTACATGGATTTGACTCTTTTAAAAAGCTAGAAACCAAAATGCTTAAAGGGTTATATCCATGTCCTTTCTTTCTCTACAGAATTTTTTGACAAGATATGTGTTCATAATGTGTGTAATAACTAGGCATGGATTCTGCAGGTCTTGTAAAGCTCCGACACCTCTGGACAGCGCTCAGTGGATAGAAAGGAGAGTTAAGATCCTTCTAGTGATGAGACCACAATGTAAAGACAGGATTACATATTAATGAAATCATTTTTTCCCCTACCTCCTTGAACTGGCTCAGGATAGATGTGGGATGAAAGTGGACCTTCTTCTCCCGGTTACAGGAGAGCAGGGAGGTCTCCTGGTTGATATTGACCAGGTTTGGATACATGCCAGCCATCAGAGCTGCCTTCACCACGGCCCAGTTCTCAGAGTTCCGATTCACATCCCGGATGTTACTGCTCCCACGGACTCGCACGAAACCTGGGAAAAAACAGGCCGCTTTAAATCCAGTCTTCATTTATGCATGCGACAAAAACTACTTCAATAACAAATGTGTTTTCTTCCTTCAAAGTCAGACTTCCATGTTTGTACTTTTATATGTCGGGACATATTTACTGGGAGTAGGGGCCACAATTCTCCAATCGATTCAAACTTCCGATTTAAATGTCACAATGTGTTTTGGATCTATGCCATCGTTAGACTATGGGGTCTTGCTTCATAAAGATCAACAGATCATTGGTTTTATTTCCTGACAACTGTCATTTTCTTCTTTAAAATGAGAGGCTACGTGGTTTCAAGGGTGCATGTTTTAGGAACGTACCACACTAACGCCATGTGCTGACATTTAAATGATGTATTTAATATACGATAACAATAACTTATTTCACCAGCAAACTGGGAAAAACTGTTAAACAACAAAAATAAGATGGCAGGAGGGTTTACAACAGCTTGAGTTTACGAGGTGAACCTGAATGCACCATGAAGTCTCTGTCTCCGCCACATGCTTTACTGTACAAAGCGATCTAGACACACAATGGATGTTAAGTGGATAACAGGCAGTCTGGTGATGGCGGGTCAAACCACACACCTGGTTGGTGTGGAATATAAAATGAAAATGAAAGTGGAACGGACCAATGGCTCGGAGCTGTCCCAGCAGCTGTGTCCTCATGCCGAGTATCATGTCCATGGTGGCCTGGGACAGGAAGTTCTTCTCACAGAAGGATCTCTCCCAGCCTTCACTGCGGGCCTTCTGCCATGCCTGACACCACACAGGACAAACATGAACTCCATTCAGCTGGGGAATATCACTTTATATGTGCATCATGATTAATTGTCACACATTACTTGATAACAATACTCTGACTAATAATGCGACCATTATGTCACATTTTGTGACCATTTTTGGAGACAGTGCTCCTACATTTCATAACTAGGAGTACCAGTGTGAGTTGTTGATATTTCCCCGATTTTTTTCTTCTTCTTTAAATCATCATATATCGACAGACAGACAGACAGACACAGAGAGAGCGAGAGAGAGAGATCCACACTCAGGTTTGCAGTGGTGCTACATTCATTCATTGGATACTTTAAAATTAAAACAATTCTGATTCATCAACAGTGCACAGATTTATTTGGTGAATGGGGGACTGTAGGGCCGTCACAAGCAATCCCAAAACAATTACTGGGTCGTAACTGCCCCCAGACAGAGTGCACCCGAGAGATGCTGAAGTTATACTTTGCAGAGCTCACAGCGATCTGTCCAATATCCAACTCTTCCATTGTTTGTTTTCCAGCCATGGAGTTGTGTTGTGCCAAACTTATGTGTAACTATTGAATCACACCTATCAAATAAACCAAAGAGCGCCTAACAAAGGATTGGAAAACCGTAGTCTAAATCAAAAAGAAAGTAACATCTCAGCTCAGCACAATTACAATAGCCCACTTTTATAGGACATTCCCGAAAGACTTGACCGCACAATTTATTATTTGGTGTTCATGTTCAAAAAAAGCACAATTTCACAAAATTTCTTCTGTTAATAGTGTATTACAAAGTCAGGGTCATAATACAGTTAAGATGGAAACAAATCTGGGTGTGTTGCGTTACATGTCGATTAAGTGGTGCGACAAAATGTTGTTCTGGTGCTCCTAACATTTTCAGTAAGGCCGTAGTGGAAACAGTGAGTCGGGAGCCCTGTTTTGTTTTCTCCGTTTTGATTTCTTTGTCCAAAATACTATATGACCAGTTGAAAAAAAAAAAATATATATATTCTGCTTAAAAAGAGGTGAGAATAAAGTATGTGATATTGATGATGAATGACTGAATGTCTATGCTATATTGTAGCTTACAGCCTATTGTTTCAACTTCATTCTCTCCACCAGAAGGATCATGCAATCGGTTGCGTGAGTGAGTGTGTGAGTGACTGTTAACCTCTGTATCTGTCCACTAATCTCTCATTCTGCTGCAGCAAACTGCATCATATTCTGAGGGTGTAGTTATGGCTGCATGTTCAAGGACCTCTAGCGGTTAATGTGATTCACACTTTCACAGAAAAAGTTTTATACTGCCACTGACTGCCTGCTGCTCATCACTCACTACTTTTAAAGGCCCCCGTCTGGTAGGGGCCACTAGTGATGACACAGCTGAGAGCATCTACACCCCCCAGTAGCTGCTGATAATAAAGGACAAGAGTTTGCAGTGTGTTTGGCTAACAGCTAACAGAACTACCAGCACAAACAACGCTGTACTTCTCCAACACCAGCTGGCAGAGATCTGCACTATATACCGCACCGCTAGATATGACTAAATCCTACACACTGGTCCTTTAAGTGGGAAAAAAAGTGGCAAACTAGGGTTGGGCGATATGATATGTACCGTGTGACAGTAAAAATGAGTCTAACAGTAGATATTTGGCAATACCACTTCAACCGCAGTAGCTATTCTCCCGTGATACAAATGTGTGTGATTTTTGTATTGCAATGACTAAAGTCAGGCTGGTATTTATGTACGTCTGTTAATTTTAGAAATCTGTTACAATTGAAATTATTATTCTCAAGAAATTTAAAAGCTTCAATTTTGAAAGTATTTTGGTTTTACTGTTTTGACTGTTTTTAACTCAAGCTTTGTCTCATGTGAGTCAGTTGTTTTTGTTTGTATGGAAGTTCTAAATACGGTAAAAGTAGAAATTAATCAAATGTGATGAAGTACATTATGATTATTTTAAACCATTTCTTAATTGAATTTACAGAACAACTACTGTATCGTCATCTAAAATGACATATACGGTGATAGAAGATCTTGACCATATCGCCCATCCCCCCTGTCTCAAACAGTGTAAAAGGCCCAGATATCCAGCAGCAGTTATCCAATTGCCCATCTTGTTTTGAAAAAAGCAGCCTGATAATGGGTAGATAACAAGTTGCTGCTCCCTCTAAACCACAGCAATAATGCATGAGCAGTTTAACTAAACAATAATCAGGCATTCAGGCATGCTGTATTTTCAATTCATAGAGACCTGAGGAGGTAAAACTAGAATGTATTTCAAAGGAGAAAAAAAGATAAGATTACAAGAAGCATCCCTTTACATCTCCCCTCAAATCAAGGGCTTCCCATATTCATCCCCCACCTACCTGGAAGGCTCTCAGCAGGGCCATGTGGTCGCTGAAGGAGGTGGAGGTGAAACATTTGCGGTTGTGTAGTGCAGCTCTTCTCTGAGATCCCTGAGCGGGAAGGATGAAAGGGTCTCGGTAGGCCAGTGTACAGGCAATGGTTAGAATGGGGTCCAGACACTTGAGCACCACAGCGCACAGCACCATCTTGCCCAAGTGGGGATCCACGGGGAGATCAGCCAGGTGGTAGCCCAGATCAGTCAGGTCTTCATACTGGTCCATAGCATCTATTGTCTGCAGAGAACGGTACTATGTAGTGGTGCCAACTCCATGACCTTTTTTTTTTGACTGCAATACTGAATGTGGATGTGTAGGCTTGTATGTGCTTGAGTAGTTGCTTGTGTCAGAGATCAGGAATAATTGAGGTACATAGTAATATTTGTTACCTTTAGCATCTGCACAGCGTTCCTGATGGCATGTGCAGCAGGAGGCTGTGGAGCTTTGGACAAGAACTCAGCTACTGGACAGGAGGAGGGGGGCCAGCAGTTTGGTCTGCAGACACAGTTCCTTACACACACACAACATATTATCACTATTACAGCCCATTACTAAGGCTACTGCATCTAAGTAGGTCTCTGTTGGTGCTCATCAAGATCTACTTAATTCTATTACAATCCTCCAATAATAACAAAGAAAATACCAAACTTTGCCATGTTAAGCCCAGAGGAGAAACTGTCAGTTGGTGAAGGGACAGCTGCTCCTCTGGCAGCTGAATATGTATCTGCCTGCCACAGCCTGAGAAACACAGTCACTAATAGATCCACAAAATTAAGTAACTCTATTAAACTGTATAATATATTTCATGTAATATATTGGACTGTATCAGTATAACCTGCATATGAATCCTGTGTATTTAATATGCAATATGTGTATTCTGTAAAATGCTTTCGCAACATATTTTTGTTCAGGCGAATAAAGCTAAATTGAATTGAAAACATATAAATAATCGAGGCAGTGAATGTAATAGAATGATAATAATAATAAGCAGTTAATGATGAACACTAAGCAGAGCATTCATTTTGTGGAAAAACTGAGTGTAAATCTTAAAACGCTTGCTGTGAAGAATGTCTTGAAAGCAAGTACGTCCACACGTAACAGGCTATGGAGGGTGTGTGTGGGTGGGTGTGTGTGTGTGTGTGTGTGTGTGTGTGTGTGTGTGT